CTGGGCGTTGATTGTGGATCCAAGTAAAATGAAATCCTTGACAACGTCAATCTTTTCTCCATTTATCATGATGTTATTCTTTGGTCTAGTTGTGAGGATTTTTGTTTTCTTTATGTTGAGGTGTAATCCATACTGAAGGCTGTAGTCTTTGAGCTTCATCAGTAAGTGCTTCAAGTCCTCTTTGCTCTCAGCAAGCAAGGTTGTGTCATCTGCATACCACAGGTTAATGAGTCTTCCACCAATCCTGATACCACATTCTTCTTCACATAGTCCAGCTTCTCGGATTATTTGTTTGGCATACAGATTCAATAAGTATGCTGAAAGGATCTAGCCCTGATGCACACCTTTCCTGATTTTAAGCCATGCAATATCCTCCTGATCCATGTAAAGGTTCCGCATGAGCACAATTAAGTGTTCTGCTTTACAGGTAGTACAGGTACCTTTTAACAGAGTATTCCCAACTCCTCTCTCTCATCCCTTATAACATTGCTGTTATACATTTGACTTATACACAGTCACATTTATTATACTGTTGCTATTGTTTTGAACTATTATGTTAGATCAGTTAAGAATAAGAAAAATAAGAGATTTTACTTTCATTTATTTCTTGTCAACCACTCTTCTTTTCTTTATGTAGATCCGAGTTTCTGACCTATATAATTTTCCTTCTTTCTGAAGAACTTCTTCAAACATTTCTTGTAAGCCAGATTTGTCTTAAGAATAATTTTGCTGGATATAGAATTCCAGGCTGGTAGGTTTTTTTCTTTCAACATTTTAAATATTTCATTCTACTCTCTTCTTGCTTGAATCATTTCTGAAAAGAAATCCAATGTAATTGTTATGCTTGTTCCTCTATAGGTAAGGTTTCTTTCCCCCCTCTGGCTTCTTTCCTGAGTTTCTTTTTCTCTGATTTTCTGTAGTTTGAATATGATATACTCAGGTGTAGATTTTTTGGTACTCATCCTGCTTGGCGTTTGAGCTTCCTGGACTTGTGATTTGTTGTCTGTTAATAATTTTATAATACCTCTACCTCTGGGATCTCAGCTTCATCCTCTGAACAATCAGTTCCATCTCCTGAGCTAATGGTTTCACCCAGTGAGCCATCTTTCTTTTTTTGACAAAAGGTAGGACATGTTTGCTGCTGAAAAATTCAGTTTTAGCAGCCTGTTTCCTGACAGTAGAATAGTCTTCTTTCGTTGTGTACTGTCTCGGTCCTTTGTAATGCAAGCTGGCAGTGTTTCTGCTGATACAATTTTCTGAAGAACCTTGTAGGCTTTGCATGGATTTCATGGGGGTTCACGCCATGAGATAAAAGGATCCTCAACCGATTTTATAATCTCTTTTCCATTGTTAGCTTCTGATCAACGGTTGAGGGACAACAGCCTTAGACTTCCTAGGCACCCTCTGGTTGACTGAGGTCCACGAAGCACACTCTTAACATTTCCTTACTGAATACTCTGACCTTTTGATCTTTCAGAGTTTTCAGCTAAAGGATGTACTGTCTCAGTCCTTTCTCTATGCCACACTTTTCAAAGCCATTTCTGAATTTTAACATCTTTTGCCAAACCGTCAAGTCCTGGTTCCTTTTTTTAAAGCAGTTTTCCGTTAAATTATCTTTTTCCTCTTGCATTTTACTATAAGTAGCAAGAACAAACCAACACTCCTGATTAAGTTTTCATTTGAATCTATTCTCCCTATGCTTTGTAATTTATCCTTCACTTATGATAATTTTGTTATTTTCTTCTGTTTCTTTCCTGAGCTGAATCAACTCTTTTCATTTCTCCCTCTTTTTTTGGTCCCTTCCTGTTCTTAGTTTTTGAATGTCTAATTCAAGGGTTTTTTTCATATCCTCAAATGTTTGTTTATACATTTTAATTCTGTTTGGAGTTTAGATTTATAGTTTTCTTCTGCTTTGTATTTGTTTTAAGGAGAAAAATTTCCTCAGTTGTTTGTCAGAAACGTCATTTCCTGATTTCTACAATAGTTCTCTATGGGTTTTACTTTTCGCTTGTTCATTCTGTGATACTGTGGTGTTTAACAAAATTTTTAGTTTAATGATGCCCTTTCCTGTCAGTCTAGCATAGTCTAGCTACTTTGACATTGTTTTGTTTTGTTTTGTTTTGTTTTTTTGGTGAGGGAGGGTTTGTGAATTTTTCATTTTCTTTTATTTTTTCCTTTTACCATCTAACTGCCAAATGCCCCTTCTTCTTTTTTTCTTATTTTCTCCCCCAGAAGGTATGCATTTGGGAATATTGTTCCTTTAAACCATACTTGCTCCTTTAAATGGATACTGTCCCTTTAAACTGCATGGCTGGCCCTTTAAATGGCACTTACTTTGAAATCACTTTTATGCAGTTCTGCTCTTATCTGTCCAGTTGTTGTTGTTACTATTGTTATTTTCAGATTCAGATGGTTTTAATCTTTCTGTTGGTCACTCCAACTGTCTCTTAGATCTCTTTGTTAGTGTAATTCTGGGTCTGCCTTTGCTTGCCACAGAACCTTGTAGTAGTGCAGGAGTGGAATAAGAGCAGGTAGGATCTGGTGTGCTGGGATTTGTTGCTATTTCTCTTTTTACTCGTTGTTACTTTGCACATTTGGCATTCTCTGTCTCCAAGCAATGTTCAGAGTTTGGTTTTGGTAGAAACATCACAGCTGTGCAGTTACATACTTCATACCATCTGGGGAGATTTTGGAAAGTTGCTTAGCACACACCCACCACTGACTTCTGCTACTTTGTTTCTTTAGGTCTCTTGATATAGCATCTTCTCCCAACAACAAAAAAAGTGAAAAAAAATTGATTTTAGACTTATGATTATTAAATTTAAAATTATAAGATGTTTTGATTAACTTTATAAACAGTATTAGAATGTTTAGCAAGGTTAGATTCATTATAAGTTTAATTACCCGAGTTGTTTAATTCCTTAGGTGGGTTCTGCCTTATAAGGGTTATTAGCTTGTTAGACATTTGAAATGCTTAATAATAGGTAGAATGTGTTAAATTTATAAATGCAATTTAAAATGTTTACAGTTATTTAATTACTTGGGACTTTAAATCAAATTGATAGTTTAAGGAAAACAGTCTGCTTAACTTGAGTTGATGAAACATTAGTCAAAAGAAAATAACTTATTTATATATAACTTTCTAGATTTATAAAGAGAATAACAACGCATGCCTGTGGAATGGCAAGACCTGCCTGACTGAATCATGAGTATAGGAAGAAATGGGACAGAAGTTTATATAAGAATGAAGAGATAGGATAATGGGTGGTCTCGGTGGTTAGATCTGCCCCTGCCCTACTCTATGTAACTTCATCTCTAAAACTCATCACTTCTCCCAAACACACCATGGTGTTTCATGCCTTATTCTCTGTTCTAGGCACTGGGAAAAACAACACAAAGTCCCTGCCCTCATATGCTTCCATTATAGAAAAGAGACAAATTTAAAAAGTAACCAGATAAATACATTATTTCAAGTAGTGATAAGATCTATGAGAATGAAAAAAAAAAGTAGGGTTATAGAAGACAGAGTGATAGTAAAGGATGTTATTAGAGCAATATTTAGGGTGGGCTTCTCTGAGGTTATGATATTTAATCAGAAATCTGAATGAAGTGAGGGACAGACACAGTCAAGGGTCCAGAGGAAGCTGGCTCCAGGAAAGATAATTCTAGAAAACTGCAAAGGCCTTCGAGCAGAGTGAAGACAAGACCAAAAAGACACATGACAACACATCATACAGGGACTTGTGGTCATGACAGAGAATATGGATTTTATTATAAATGTGATAGAAAGGCATTGAAGGATGCTTTTTGGCCTGCTTACGCTACCTTTCTCCTCCTGTTTATTTGGCTATCTCCCATTTATCTTTCAAAATCTAACATCACTTCCTCTGGGAAACCTTTCTTGATTTCTCAGGTAAGATCGATCATCTCTTCCTTTGTGCTACCTCTGAGAAATAACAGATTACTGACCTTCTTTCACACTTTTTAGTTGTTGTTGAGTCGATTCCGACTCATCGGGACTCCACGTGTGTCAGAGTAGAGCTGTGCTCATAGGGTTTTCAAGGCTGCGACTTTTCAGAAGCAGATTGCCAAGCCTGTCTTCCGAGGTGCCTGCGGGTGGGTTCCAACCACCAACCTTTCTGTTGGAAGTGGAACACTTAACCATTTGTACCACCCTTCTCCAAACCCAAACCCGTTGCTGTGGAATCCATACCAACTCATAGTGACCCTATAGGACAAAGCAGAAGAGCCCCATAGGGTTTCCAAGGCTATAAACTTTTACAGAAGCAGACTGCCACATCAGACTGCCACATCTTTCTCCCGGCTGGTGGGTTCCAACCACTGACCTTTCGGTTATCAGCCCAGCGCTTAACTACTGCGCCACCAAGGTTCCTTACTACCGTTCTAGGGATCTAGCGGTTTTATTTTTTCACAGATCGTCTTTTTCATCTCTGTAGCCTCAGGGTGTAGCATAGTGGTGGGTGCTAAATAAACGTTCCATAAAGGAAAAACTAATCCATTCAGTCGTGCAAGCCTTGATCTCTTGTCGACCACGCTGGACGCTGTACAAGCAGGCGCTTAGTGATTGTTGCCCTGGGAGGCTAACTACACCATTTTCCCAGCTTCCAGAGGAAGGGCTGGGGTTTCAAGAATACTCTCTAGGACAAGAATGCCCCTCGGGAGACCCGACCTCCCAAACGTCAGGTGTCTGCTGTCTCTCCTTTGCATGTGTTTGCCCACCTTTTCTGGGCCCCGGTGGTGGGATCGGGAGAACCTTTGGGCTTCGCAGTTATGCCTCCGAGCACTCTCGGCAAACCCTTCCGGGGCCGTCACGCACAAAGTCTCCCTCTTTTCTTCTTAACAACCGAATTCACAGAAGTGATGTCCACTCGTATACAGCGTCCAGCGTTGTGCCGCCCACTTCGCCCATCATAACCCCGCTCCCTTCTTCTACTCCATCCCCCCTCGTCCCAGTCAGCCTCCCACGGCTCCCCACTCACCTAGGATGCGGGTGATCCCCAGGGTCAGTTTCTCTAGGTGCGGCTTGCTGCCGCTCAGCGATTTCTCCTCCATGGCTCGTGTCCCCGTTCCGCGCGCGGCCGGGAGAGCTGCGGGGACCGGTGAAGTGAGCAGGGAGGCCGAAGGAGGGCTGGACCCCGCCTCAGTGCCTCAGCGCCTCAGCCGTCAATTTCGCGGCATGCCGGGAGTTGTAGTTTTTCGCGCCTGAGATCTGGGTGGGGCGGAGATGGGGGTTCCCAGCTCGTCTGGGAGAAGTAGTGCGGTGGGGTTCTCATTCCCGCGCCCCCGGCCTGTGCCCCACACCACGCCTTCGGGACGTACCCTGTCCTCCGCTCGGACCCCCTCGCCCCGCCGGGGCTGGCCGCGCAAGCGGGGACGGGTCTCCGCGCCGTGCGTCCAATGGGGGCTGAGCCTGGAGGCCGGGGCGGGACGGCCTCGGCGCAACGCCCGGAGTGGCGGTTGTTTCAAGATGGCGGATGTGGCGGCCCCCTCCTTTCCGAGCGCTGCGGCGTTCTGGAGCCGGGACTGTATCCTTTGCCCGCCTGGTGAGGGGCTTCGGCACCCTACGCGGTGCGCCGAGGGGCTAGGGTCTTGTGGGACTCTTGAATGGAGAGAAGCTCCGCGCTAACTTAGGGGGCGGGGACGTTCTGTCTGGTTTCAGTCTAGTTGCAGGGCTTGTCTCTTGCTGGGGTATTGGGTGGCAGAGAGCCTGATACTGTCTCCCTGTTGGACTTCCCAGGTGTGAAGACACAGCACAGATGGTAGAGCTCTGGAAAGGTGGCCTAGAGTTGTGGCCCAGCCTGGGGCTGAGGGGTTGGGGGCTCCCTATGGCCATAGCGACCCGGCCAGCAGGAGTCTGTGCGGAGTCAGGTTGAGGGAAAGATGAGCGTTGGCTGGACGGGGACGGCTGCTGACTGGACAGGTAGCCTTTTTGTCTTGGTTTAGGAGTGCCCTTAGTCCACGCTGCTAGGAGCAAGTCTGGATCTTGTTGGACTTCGAGTGGGCTGTCGTCAGTGATGATTTATTTTCTTAATGGGGTTTGAGGAGAGATGTGGGGCTTGGTGATATGGCTCGGTGGTGCTGGTTACAGAATAAGAATCATTATGTCTGGAAGTAGTGTGGACTTACATGAAGATTGTGTGTCACCCCTGGCAGGGATTGAAGTTCTTGGATTGTTTTGAAGTGGAGAAGCTATGGAGCTTTTTAGGCCTGTGATAATATTCCCAGTTCAAATTTCTATGACTAAATGTTTGTGTGACAGGAGTGGTTCTTTCTCTAGAGTACTGTCCCAGCCTGAGGTTTGGTCCAGATAATTTACTTCATGTAAGTTTAGACAGGTGTTACATGAAAGAGGGAGGTTAAGCAGTGTATTGAGTGTCTGCAGAAGTGAGTCTTTATGTCTGTTGCTAGGATATTTATGGTTCTGGTTAAGGCATTGCTGTTATTTTTGGCAGATTCGTTTTTGAACTCTACTTAGTTCCCAGTGAAATTTTCAGAATTGTACGGTCAGTTCCTTTTACTAAGTTCCTACGATCCAAGTGTCATGTCCTGGAGAGAGGGATATTTTTGCATTTGGGGCTGCTTAGTGTTTATGTTATGCACTTACTAAGCGTAATTACCACTTGTCTCTGATAGGTTGGTGAGAATCAAATAAGATCATATACACTGTAGATGAAAGTACCTAGCGCACTGTAAAAATTAATTTTTTTTCCTTTCCCTGTTAGGATGTAAAGGGAGTTTGTGCATTAGGAGCAATTGAGCTGGATTAGGAAGTCAGGAAATTGATCTGGGCCTTTTCTCATGAAAACTGCTCCTGAGTTGTGATAGGATTTTGTGATGGAGGAGATACTTGAAGGTTATTAGCTTACAGTGTGTTTCTTTAATGTAATCATTTCTGTAACCACTTTCGTGGTTTTGATTATTATTCTTTAACTTTCTCTTATGACCAATGGTATTGTTCTGATATAGAATAAATGGTTGGGGAGGGGTAGTATTTTGCAGTGGAACTGAGTAAGTCAGTTAACAGGTTTGTGGACTGAACTTATGCTCTTGGTCTTAGAAGCCTTGTACTCTCACTTATTAATGTAGTCATATTCTTCCCTATTTCACGTAGAAGCCACATATTCTCCCTTACCTCTTATGTTTTCCCTTACTCTTAACATTACTGTAGAACGCTCATCTTCCCCTTGAAAGTGAGGAAAATGGTGGCGATTACATCCTACAAAAATTCAGATGTATGAAAGGAATTGCAAGGTTACTAGTATCACCTGAGTTTCCCCAGCCTGTTCTGCATAATGACTTTAATTAACCTCCAGCCTCAGCTATTTCATTATAAATCTCTATAGAGCATAAAAGCAATGTCAAATGTAAATTTGTTGTATTGACTATTTTCTTAAAAAGTATAATGATAGTTATGAATCATTTGGATTCAGTCATGTGTTGTTGGATCTTTATTTCCTTTCTTGTTACATGGATAACTCCCCAGACCATGCAAGAGCCTTTATGATAAAACTTCCAATAGAAAAAGATAAAAAAAAGTGTACCTGTAATCTGATATTCTTTTCACACTATTGGAGAAAGATTTTCAATGCTTTGCCTAAACAATTAGAGACATGTGATTGAGAGATTTCCTAATTCTAGATGTTTCCATCATGTGAGGACAGATCATCTGTGACTGTCACCCTTTTTACTGCTGTTGTGAGTTATGCACCTTCTGCAAGTATGATCCAGTAGTGCTATTTTGTAGCTCTGCTTTAATACCTAATGTGTAAACAATGAGTATGCCATGTTGTCATTTTATGGGTTAAATCTGTGAGTAAAATATACCCTTCAGCTGTAGATTGCTTTCCTCCTTCACTGAAATTCCTAGTAATGGCAAAAGTTAGTGCTTCTGCAGTATCAAAATTTGATTGCTTAAATGCACTTAAGTGTATTATCATTAACAGTATTAGTAATTTAATATTAACAAGTATGAACTACAAGGGACCTAGTGAAAACATTGGAATAGCCATTGAGTTTTCAATTAAAAATAGACAAAGACTTTATGTAGATGTTAAAATAACATTGTTGTATGCTGTCAAATCTATTCCAACTCAAAGTGACCATAGATAACAGAGTAGAACTGCCCCATAGGGTTTCCCAGGCTATAATCTTTATGGGAACAGATTGCTAGGTTTTTTCTCCCGAGGAGCGACTTGGGTTCAAACAGTTAGCAGCCCAGTGCTTAATCAGTTGTGCCACTACAGCTATCTAAAATAATATACTAGCCTGGAAAGTCACTATGATCAATAATAGCTACATATACATGTGTTGCTGGAAAGTGGTTAAACAAAAGATTAGAGTGGACAGTATTAAGCCTGTTTCCTTCAGATCTGTGGTAGAGATGCTTTTTCCTACCCATTCTCTCCTGGGTTGTTTCTAATTACCACGTTAATTCTAGGAATTTGGATAGATTGGGACCAGCATTAAGTATAGCTTGCGATAGTTTGCTTATTGAGGCACTTCCAAAGAAATCAAACTAGAACTAAGATGGCATATAGAACCCAATAGTAAGTTCAGTTTACACTGAGTATATATTGTATATCTTTGACTTTCCCATAAAATACACGTTTGTTGAGAAACTCATATAAATATTTGGGTTCTTATGATAATGAGATAAAAATAGATGGCAACTGAATGGATAGGACGGATGGAGGCAATTTCATATATTTTTAGTTTTTAAAACCTTGTTGAGCTCAGTTTATTTAGAGTGTTTTATATTTGAAAAGAAATTTGGCATGGATGTGGATAGAAGTAAAAAGTTTGCCTGCATATTGTGGATGACATAATGAGAGAAAGATAACACTGAAAGTTGTTGGACAGTGTCTCACAAAATTAAATGTCAAAAAATGTTTCATTTTTCACAGATGGCTTACAGTTAACCTATTGTCGTCGAGTTGATTCTGACTCATAGCAACCCTATAGGACAGAGCAGAACTCCCCCATAGGGTGGCACAGTGATTAATAGCTGGGCTGCTAACCAAAAAGATCGGCAGTTCAAATCTACCAGCAGGTTTTGGGATGAAGATTAGGACTTTGGTTTCAGACATGTTGAATATAAAATACCTTTTGTACATCCAAGTGACAATGTCGGGTTTAGGGGATAGCCTCCTGCTAGAGATTAATTTGGCAGACATCAGTATATTGATGGTATTTAAACACATGAGATTGAATGAGATCACCAAGGGAATGAGTAGGTAGAGAAAAGATCCAAGGATTGTACCTTGGGGTGTTCCAAAGTTCAGAGGCTGGGAAGATTCCTATTGTTGTTAGTTGCCATCTAGTAGATTCCATCTCATGGCGACCCCATGTATGCAGAGTAGAATAGCTCCATAGAATTTTCAAGGCTGTGACTTTTATGAAGCAGATCACCATACTTGTCTTCTGAGGTGCCTCTGGGTGGGTTCAAACTGCCAGCCTTTTTGGGAGTTGTTTAGTGCTTAACCATTTGTATGACCCAGGGACTCCTGGGAAGATTCTAAGGAGAGTAAAAATGAGTGATCAGAAAGACAGGAGGAAAATTACATAGGTTGCATCTTTGAAGCCAAGTGATGGTATTTCAAAAAGGAGAGTGGTCCTCTATGTCAAATGCTGCTGATCAGTCAAGTACAAAGAGGTCTGAGAATTGATTGGTAGATTTCACAATATGGGGTGCCATTGTAATCCTGATGAGACTACACTGGGTTGATGGAGTTGAAAGCTTGATTGGGATAGGGTTCAAGATTGAATGGGAGGAGAGAAATTGGAGTGAGTGAGTATAGATAACTCTTTTGAGGAGTTTTGTTGTAAAGGGGAAGAAAAATGGTACAGTAGCTGGAGGCAAATATAGGGTTGAGAGGTTTTTTGTTTTTTTTCCAGGAGAAAATAAATTATTACATGTTTGAATGGTAATGAAAGAAGTTTAATAGGAAAAATGATTAATACAGGAGAAAGGGGAGAATAGCTGGAGCAATATTCTTGGGTAGAGAGAAGGAATGGTATATGTTATGTAAGAGATGGATTGACTTTAGATAAGAGCACAAGCAGTTCATCCATAGTAAAAAGAGGGAAGGCAGAGAATATGGACATAGATGCAGGAAAGTAGGTTAGATATGCTGGTGAAGGCTTATGGAATCAAAGTTAGTAGTTGAGAGTAAGAATGGGAGATATGGTATCATGTTTGAGAAGAGAGGAGAAAGTACGAAATACTTAACTGAGCTTCCAAATCAGGGTGCAGTTGAGTGTGGTCCCCAGTGGCTTGTCCCGCCTAGCTGTGAGCAGACCCTTTAGTGAAAGTGAATGGTATAAGGGAGTATAGTATGTTTTCCAGGACTCAGGGTTGCTGTGAGTCGGAATCGACTCAATGGCAACAGGTATTTTTTGTTTTTTTCAGTTACATGAGTCTTTTCATAGGTCATCTGAAAATTGAACATTCCCATATCTTCTAATTGAAGACACTGCCATATGGACCATGTCTTGAATCACTGTTTTGATTTTTCTCCCCTCGGTACTTTTTTCCATGTATATACTTCTGACAGCATATAATTAAACATATATTGAGCACCTACTGCATGTGCAAGGTCCTGTACTAATCCCAAGGGACATTTAAAAAAAAAAATCAGTTCTTGCTTATGAGAAGCCTACAACATTTTGTTTTATAAAGCTTTGTTTAGTATGGGTGTCTGTGAATTTAGAAATTCTCTCTCTGCTCCCATGTTAGTTGCTATCAGTTTCTTTGAAGTGGGGGATTCTTAAGTTTTTTTGTTTACTTGCCTTATGTACCCCCTAAAACTTTCTAAGCTCTATAGCTGACATTTGAGGGAATTTAAAGTTTACAGATACTTTGTTGTTGTTAGGTTCTGTCGAGTCAGTTCCGACTCATAGCAACCCTATAGGAAAGAGTAGAACTGGCCCATAAGGTTTCCAGGGAGCGGCTGGTGGACTTGAACTGCCATCCTTTTGGTTAGCAGCTGAGCTCTTAACCACTACACCACCAGGGCTCCTTATAGACACTCAGCAGAAAGTCTTGGAGCTGTGACAGTGAAGGTGCCGCTACGGGGGAGAGCTGTTAGATGACAGCTAGCAGATCAGACAGTAAACACCATCTTAATATTCCTAAATTCCTAATAGGGATTCTAGGTATTTCCAATAAATATTCCCTGAAAAGACTTTCCGTTATTAGGGTTGAGACTGAGCTGAAACATTGTCATTTTGAGCATGTTACTAAATCACTGTTTTACTCCAGGAAGGAAATAGTTAATAACTGCTTTGTCTAGAAATCTTGGAAAATAAAATGTTACTTTACAAAAGAAAAGAAAACTTTGAAATTTTCTAGATCATTCGGAAAAAATTGCTTAGATACTTCCTTCCTGGAAGTGTAATAGAAGGTTATCAAATTGTGGACATAACTGGATTTAGATATACTATAGTTCTGAATAAAATTTTGTTTTTGGAAAGAAAACTGTCTTTGTTATTATATTGATTCTTTCTGTAGGAGTGTTATGATTTTAGCCTTTCTAAATTTCTGCTTTTGAAATTCAAAATTGTTCTTTTTGTCTTAAATTTCTTCTATTTTTAAAATAGGGCTTCTTGGGACATTTTATAAATGCACTACAGAAGAATAAAAATTGCCTTTGTGTTTGCATGATTGACTTGCCCTCAGATGGTGTTTGTTCTTCAGAGTGAAAACCTGTCTTGAAATTATTTATTCTTCATGCCTAAAATAATCTCTCCAATAATCAACAAATCAAAACGGAGAGGAAAAGAAAAGAAACCTCACAGCAGGATGTAGTATATTGTAGGGTATCCCAATTGTGAATAAGATTCGATAAAAAAGTTTAATGGAGTAGGGCCTTCTGAAATTTTTATAAAACATATAGTTGTAAACGTACTTACAATTTTTTTAAATGAAATGTAGTTGTAAATACATAATGATAAACTTTAAAAGTATTAATTTTGTTACATTTATTATTTTGCTCTCTAGTGTTTGTTTTTAAAACAAGAGCCCTGGTGGTGCAGTGGTTAAAGTGCTTGGCTGCTAACCTAAAGATTGGTGGTTCAAACCCACCAGCCACTCTGTGGGAGAAAGATGTGGCAGTCTGCTTCTGTAAAGATTTACAGCCTTGGAAACCCTATGGGGGCATTTCTGCTCTGTTCTGTAGGGTGACTGTGAGTTGGAATCTACTCGACGGCAATGGGTTTGGTTTTTTTTTGGTTTTGTTTTTAAAAGCTAGTTGTAAATTTCCAGGTCAAAGAAAATTACAAATTTTAACAGAAGTACAGAACAGTAGCAGCATTTGAATTTTGGATAATCTCCTGTGGTATTTTCCTTGATGTCTTTCTTCCTGCATAGTTTCTGATGAAGAACAATCAGTTGTATATGTTCCAGGTATGATTTTTTATGCTAATTTGGTAAGCTTCTTTTTCTCCTTAGTGTTGGGAGAAAATCAAACATTAGGACAACTTTGCATAGATAACTGGAGGCAGAACAGTCCTTCAGCACCTGAAATTTGCTTTTGGAATATTTGGCATGACCCTAATAAGGTCTGAACTGAAGTACTGGTTCATCTTAGGGGCTTACTGGGCAAGTCAGCTTTTGATGGACTTGTAAAATACTTCATATATTAAGGGGTAAGAGATTCTTTTCTTTTTTTAAATATGAATAATAGCCCAAATTTAATATTTCAGAGAAAAGTGTGAAAACTTCTTGATACCGGGTTTGTGTAAGAGACTCTTTAAAGTTTGTTGGTTGTTACTAGAGGAGTAGTAAAATTGAACCTTTGAAGGCCCCCTAATAATATGAAGAATGAGATCTTTAATTTCCCCAGAGTTGAGGTATCTGTGCCATGTTGTTATTTATTGGTCTTAATGTGACTTAATGAATGTTCACAGCACCTTTTAGAAACATTTCAGTTGAATCTTTAATGTATTTCTTTAAAGTATAATCTTTCATGATTTGTTTTTTATTAAGAGAGCTTTAAAAGGAAATTTATAAAGTTGTAGTTTTCTCTGTCAGTTCTCATAAAATAGAGTCTATTGTGGAAGAGGCTAATGGGGGGAGAGTTTAAGAGAATGAGAAGGTATAATTTTGAAATCTTGTTTGATGGAAATTGTTAGGAATTACTGCAGAAGGAAATACCAGATCAAGACACAAGTTGATGAGTCCAAAAGCTGATATTAAACTTAAGACTTCCAGGGTGGCTGCTGCTTCAATCTCCATGGAGTCTTTAAAAGGTGCAGGAGATTCAGTAGAGCAACAGGTCAGTAATTTCTTTTTTTTTCTTATTCTCTAATCTTATAAATCCCTTTTTTCTGTTCTGCTCAGTAACTGATACAAGGGTAGAAGAGCCCTTGAAAGTACATTAGATAATCTGTAAGTGTTACAATAGGTAGTGCTTCTTAAAAGATACAGAGGTTTCTAGGCACCTTTGATGTTGCTTGGTATGAATATAGAATATCTAGATTACTTAAGGGTTCTGCTCCAGAAAATCTAGGCTTGCCTTAAGTTTTTGCTAAGGAAAATGTGTTATCTTGTTATATCTCAGAAGACCTACATCCTGGTCTGTGTTGAGGTAAGGTAAATCAAATTGGTAACAATTTTTTTTAGACATCCTTTATGATTTTGTGAGTTTGTTAGTTGATAATAGATTAACCCTTGTATGCAAGATAGATGCTTTATTAAAAGAAAATTGGCCTGCATTATTACTATTGTTTTCTTTATCTGCAAAATAAAACCATAAAGACTCTTACTTTTTATAGACCAATTATTGATTTCTCCCTTGTCTTTCTTCTGCAGTAGTTAGTATCTTTACATGCATTCCTTTGACACTTGTCCGATCTTACTGGTTTATTTTACTTTACTTTTTGTTATAGTTTATCTCTGCTACCAGAGTTTAAGTCAGAGTTTGGCTAACTGACCTGTGGGCCAAATCTTGCCCACCGCCTGTACTGTGAATAAAGTTTCATTGGAACACAACCATATTCAGTCTTTTACATAATGTCTGTCATGGATTGAATTGTGTCCCCCAAAAATATCTGTTAACTTGGCTAGGTCATGATTCCCAGTATTGTATGATTGTCTGCCAGTTTATTATCTGATGTGATTTCCCTATGTGTTGTAAATGCTATCACTATAATGTAGTAAGATGGATTAGTGGCAGTTATATTGATGAGGTCCACAAGGTTAGTATCTTAAGCCAGTCTCTTGAGATATAAAAGAGAGAAGCAAGCAGAAAGACACGGGGACCTCATACCACCGAGAAAGTGGCGCCAGGAGCAGAGCGTGTCCTTTGGACCTGGGGTCCCTGCCTGGAGAAGCTCCTAGTCCGGGGGAAGATTGACAACAAGGACCTTCCTCCAGAGCCGACAGAGAAAGAAAGCTTTCCCTTGGAGCTGACGCTTTGAATTTGGACTTGTAGCTTACTAAGAGAATAAATTTCTCTTTGTAAAAGGCATCCACTTGTGGTATTTCTGTTATAGCAGCACTAGATGACTAAGACACTGTCTATAGTTGCTTTTGTGTTACATTGACAGAGACAGCATGGCCCACAAAGCTGAAAATAGTTACTATTGGACCCTTTAGAGAAAAAGTTTTCAACCCTTGGCCTATGTTCTTGAGGACATTTCCAGTATCTAGTTTGTTACTAACAATTATGTTTATTAATCTACATAGTTTAACTGTGATTAGCTCAGAGGGCCTACTTGTGTTACTTTTATCACCAAGGTTTACCCACTTCACTCTGGGGTGTGAATAGTTTACTTTGCAAGTTCTTATCAGAAATTAAAAGTATTTTTTCACATAATGGTTTGTTTTACTTTGAACAATAATTTTTTTTTTTACTTCTATGCATACCCCAAAAAATATTTTTATTACTTTTACTTTAAACAATTGTCTTTTTTGTAAAATTGAAATATAATTCACTTATCATAAAATTTACTCTTTTAAAGTATACAGTTGAGTGGTTTTTAATTTAGTCACAGAGTGGTACATCTATCCCCATTAGCTAATTCCAGAACATTTCATCACCCCAAAAAGATACCTTATACCCATAGAAGTCGCTCCCCATTTTCCAGTCCTCTCAGTCCCTAGCAACCACTAATCTACTTTCTGTCTCTACAAACTGGTCTCTTCTGGACATTTCATATAAATGGGATCATATATGTGGCCTTTTGTGACTGGGTTCTTTCATTTAGCATAATGATTTCACGGTTCATCCAGTTTGTATCATTACATCATTCCTTTTTATGATTGAATAATATTCCATTCTTTCCTATACCACATTTTGTTTATCCATTCTTTTGTTGATGGTCACTTGGGTTGTTCCTACCTTTTGGCTATGAGCATTCATGTACAAGTTTTTCTATGGACATATTTACAGTTCTCTTGGGTGTATATTTAGAAATGGAATTGATGGGTCATATGTTAATTCTATGTTTAACCTTTTGAGTATCTGCCAAACTGTTTTCCAAAGTGGCTGCACCATTTTACATTCCCACCTGCAGCATATGAGACTTCTAATTTCTCCACATCCTTACCCGCACTTGTTTTTTCTTTTTGATTATAGCCATCCTAATGGGTGTGAAGTGGTATCTCATTGGGATTTGGATTTATATTTTCCTAATGATGATGAGCATCTTTTCATGTGCTTCTTGGCCATTTGTGTATCTTCTTTGGAGAAATGTTTATTCATATCCTTTTTAATTGAGTTGTCTTTTTATTGTTGCGTTATAAGAGTTCCTTATATATTCTGCATACAAACCCCTTATGAGTTAAATGCTTTCCAAATATTTTCTCTCATTCTGTGAATTGTCTTTTTACTTTCTTGATGGTGTCACGTGCAACATAAAAGTTTTTAATTTTGATGTTCAATTTATCTATTTTTTTGACTTGTTGCTTGTGTTTTTTTCGTGTGTGTGTGTGTGTCATATCTAAGAAATGCCTAATCTAAGGTCACAAAGATTCTAGCCTATGTTTTTGTAAGAGTTTTATAGTTTTAGCTCTTATATTTAGGTCAGTGACCCATTCTGAGGTAATTTTTGTATATGATGTGAGGTAGTGGTCAAATTTCATTCTTTTGCACGTCCCAGCTACCTTTGTTGAAAAGACTTTGTTGAAAACCCATTGAATGGTCTTGTCACCTTGTTGAAAATCTCTTGCCAATAAATTTAAAGGTTTATTTCTGGACTCTTCATGATTTTCCATTTGTTTATATTTCTGTCCTTATGCCAGTATAACACTGTCTTGATTATTGTAGTTTTGCAGTAAGTTGTAGAATCCGGAAATGTGAATATGTGGAAGTGTGGAATGGCTTTTTATGTATTTAGGTCTTTTTATTTTCTTTCAACTATGGTTTGTAGTTTCCAGTGTATAAATTTTGTACTTGTTTTGTTAAATTTATCCTAAGTATTTTATTCTTTTTGATGCTATTGTGAATGGAACTTCTTTTTTTTTTTTTAATTGTGCTTTAGGTGAAAGTTTACAGCTCAAGTTAATTTCTCATACAAAAATCTATATGTATATTGTTACGTGACATTAGTTGCAATCCCCACAATGTGACAGCACACTCCCACTTTCCACCTCGAGTTTCTTGTGTCCATTCAACCAGTTCCTGTCCGAAGGCCTTCTCATCTTACCTCTGGACAGGAGCTGCCCATTTGGTCTCTTGTATGTGATTAAGAAGCACACACCTCATGAGTATTACTGTTATTATTTTTTGTTTGTTTTATACTCCAGTTTAATCTTTGTCTGAAGTCTGGGCTTCAGGAAACTTTTAGTTTTCTAAACAGAGCGTCCAAGGGCCGTAGTTTTCGAGATTCCTTCAGTCTCTGTCAGACCATTGAGTCTGGTCTTTTAATGTGAATTTGAGTTTTGTTCCACGCTTTTCTATGGCTCTGTCCAGGACTCTCTGTTGTGTTCCTTGTCAGGGTGGTCATTGGTGGTAGCCGGGCAGCATCTAGTTCTTCTGATCTCAGGCTGGTGGAGTCTCTGGTTTATGTGGGCGTTTAGTCTCCTGGGCTAATATTTTCTGTATGTCTTTGGTGTTCTTAATTCTCCTTTGCTTCAAGTGGTTTGGGACCAATTGATGCATCTTAAATGGCCGCTTGCAAGCTTTTAAGATCCCAGATGTCGCTCACCAAAGTGGGATGCAGAACATTTTCTTAATAAACTTTGTTATGCCAATTGACCTAGATGTCCCCCGAAACTGTGGTCCCCCAGCCCCTGCTACTCTGTCCCTCACAGTATTTGGATGTGTACAGGAAACTTCTTAGCTTTTGCTTTGGTCCAGTTGTGCTGACTTTCCCTGTATTATATGTTGTCCTTCCCTTCATCAAAGATGATCCTTGTCTCCTATCTAGTTAGGGAATTCCCTTCCCCCCTCCACCCTCCTAACCATCAAAGAATGTTTTCTTCTCTGTTTTAAACCTTTTCTTGAGTTCTTATAATAGTGGTCTCATACAATATTTGTCCTTTTGCGACTGTCTAATTTCACTTGTTATGATGCCCTCCAGATTCATTCATGTTGTGAAGTGTTTTGCAGATTGATCATTGTTCTTTATTGTTGCATAGTATTCCATCATGTGTATGTACCATAATTTGTACATCCATTCGTCTGTTGATGAGCACCTAGGCTGTTTCTATCTTTTTGCTATTGTGAACAGTGCTGCAGTGAACATGGGTGTGCATGTATCTATTTGTGTGATGGCTCTTATTTCTCTAGGATATAATCCAAAGAGTGGGATTGCTGGATCGTATGGTACTTCTATTTCTAGCTTTTTAAGGAAGCACCAAATCGATTTCCAAAGTGGTTGTACCATTTTACATTTCCAGGAGCAGTGCATAAGTGTTCCGGTCTCTCCACAACCTCTCCCACATTTATTATTTTGTGTTTTTTGGATTAGTGCCAGCCTTGTTGGGGTCAGATGGTATCTCATTTTAGTTTGGATTTGCATTTCTCTAATGGCTGATGATCATGAGCATTTCTTCATATGTCTGTTAGCCACCTGAATGTCTTCTTTGGTGAAGTGTCTGTTCAGATCCTTTGCCCATTTTTTAATTGGGTTACTTGTCTTTTTGTTGTTGAGGTGTTGCAGTGTCTTGTAGATTTTAGAGATTAGACCGCTATCAGATATGTCATCCCCTATCAGATATGTCATAGCCAAAAATTTTTTCCCAGTCTTTAGGTTACCTTTTTACTCTTTTGGTGAAGTCTTTTGATGAGCGTGTTTGATTTTTAGGAGCTCCCAGTTATCTAGTTTCTCT